GGTGTATGTTTGTGTGTGTGTGAGATATGTTGTGTGTAGGTGTATGTTTGTATGTGTGGCACTACATGTGTATTTTACGGTATTACAACTTAAGGTTAATCTGGCGAAAAAAATGACTAGGCTATTAATGCATTTCTGCCACGTGTAAATTTGAACACATCCCCCTCATCACTGTTCGAAGGTAACTGACCTCTCCTGCTGCTAGAGTCCTAATATCCACCTCCCGTCCTCTGCTTCTCCAGTCTAGAGGATGCCAAGACATATTTTATTTGAAACTTGTGTACACACTCCGCTACGTAATGAACACTGACTCCTGTTGTCTTGGGAAAGTTGTCAAAATCCTTTGTCTGTTGTTTCGTATTGGCGTCCGGTACCTACATAAGAATGATGAGTTTCTTAGATTTATCATTGTTGTTTAAATAGTTTTACTTCTTTATATTGGTAAGTGCATTACTGTTAAGTGAAAGGAGTTTGAGAGTACTATATAATATATGGCGTGTTTGTTTGGTGATTTATGGGTAGAATTGTCTTTTCCTCTTGTGACGTCACACAAGGCTGAGCAAATAGTCGGTGATTTTTCCTTCTTTTATGTTTATTAATAATATTGATGTGTGTGTGTGTGTGTGTGTGTGTGTGTGTGTGTGTGTGTGTGTGTGTGTGAAAAGTAATTATTAGAATCAGACGTGAAATCATTTAGTGTGGCTCAGAAAAGTTGCCGTTATCTGAGAATGTCATCTGAGTTACCACACAAATTAACATCATAAAGGGTACCGCCTCACAACTTGCGTCTGTACCGGAACTAGACGCGCTGTGTCATTTACCAGTAAGGAGGATGAACTTGACCGGCGAATCTTCGGGGAGTGTTGAGTGTGAAGCAGCCAGCCACCGTGGGAGATGTGGCTGGCTGAAGGTGACCACGTCATTGTTTGATGTAGGTTCTTGACGCACCAGACCAACTCGCCACCCACCACCATCCGCTGTCGCTCACCACCACCTCTCTGTTCCTGCTTGTAGTTTTGTGTCACCGATTTAGAGAATGCGTCCAGTGTTGTCTTGATGTTCATATTACTGTCTGTGTGTCGGAATAAATGTTGCAAGTATGATAAAGTCTCTTCTTATTAAGTTAGTCTGGCTGGATCTCTGACTGGATTGTATTTTTTGCGATCTGTTGTGTGATCTTTGTTGACCTGTAGAATGACCATACCATTGTGAATGTGAACTTCGAGACTTCAATGCAATGTCTGGAGTACAGTCTTTCTCGTTTCCCAGGACGAACACCAGTGGTTTCTACCTCGCCTTCACTTTACTTACCTGTAAGTTTTTTTTTTCCCATGGGGTGAACAGACACGGTCATTTGTTGCCTTCAGGGTGAATACTTTATGGTTTGAGTGGACAATAGTGATGATTTACGAAGTGACCTAGAAAAAACCTACTGTATATTACTGTACAGGACTCGTGTATTGCGTTACATGTTGCAGTTGTAGCTATTAGTTTGGGCTAGAATAAAAAAGTAAGAATATCTTCACCGCCTTTTCAGTAAACAGACTGAGGAATGTTTTAATATATCGCTGTAACGTTAATGGCAACTTTCATTTAAATTTATCTGAAAATTAGATACCCCAGCTTATTTTATCTAAAGAGTAAGAACCCTAATGCTAACCTAACCTAAGCCCCAGGTAGCGTTAGGGTGGTTAATCTGCAGGTGATCCCATTTATTTACTTTTTCATTACCAACCGAATGTCTCGTAACTGGTGCACGGTGGCCGGAATAAAAAAAAAAATCGTCTTCTCTCTTTACTTCAACCACTGTCGTTCGTTCTTCGTTCTCCTACACCGTAATTAGTCAAAACCCAGTCATGATGTGGTCGTTCAGGTCGTGTAAGAGTGGCGGTGAGAAGAGTTTATATGACTTACCTGAAGATTAGACACTCCAGCTTATTTCTCCTGAAGATAAACACTTTTAACGTTACCTTGGGGAGAGTTAGGTTAGGTTAGATTAGCTTAGCATTAGGATGGCTAATCTAAAGGTGAAATTAGCTGTGGTGTTAAATCCTCAGGTGAATTGTTTCTGAAAGGGAGATTTTGTTTGTGTTTTGAAAGGTTCTTAGGATAAATTTTCATCCTGACATGATGTAGTCATAGTGTAGTTGCGAGTCCATTTTAGTCGACGTAGTTTGTTTTATCCTAAGGTGAAAAAAAATAAGTATGAACTTAAGAATCTATGAGAATTGACTTTGGCTTTCAAGAATCTCTCTCTCTCTCTCTCTCTCTCTCTCTCTCTCTCTCTCTCTCTCTCTGCACCTGGTGGTATCATACCTTGCGTCACCGCCGATAATTTACATGGTCAACAGGTCACTTCCTCTACATCCGGTCACACCTAACAGTAAAATCCGGTCGTGTGGGTTATTGAGGGCGAAACATACATTACGTCTAGCTAGCGTGTACGTGGGAACTGTGTACGTGGGACCTGTGTACGTGGTGGGGGAGGTACAGTTTGTCTTTTACGTGACTCGGCTGGTCTTCCTTCCCTCCCCCATATGTTACACACACACACACACACACACACACACACACATACACACTTTAAGGTATAGTTATTGCAGTAAGATGGGATATATTTTGGGGGTAATAAATATTAAGGTAAACATTAAGGGACATTTTAAGGTAAGAATTATTATTTTTTTTAGATAGAGACAAGAGTGAGCTACATTAAATATGTAAACTTTTATGGAGTGAGCTTAGAGGTAAGTAATAAATTAGGGTGGGTTGGCTGGTGTGTGTGTGTGGGTTAGGTGGGATGGCTGGTGTGTGTGTGTGGGTTAGGTGGGTTGGCAGGTGTGGGTGTGTGGGTTAAGTGGGATGGCTGGTGTGTGTGTGTGTGTGGGGTTAGGTGGGTTGGCTGGTGTGTGTGTGTGGGTTAGGTGGGATGGCTCGTGTGTGTGGTTGAGGTGGGTAGATGGGCAGGCTGGCTGGTGGAGGGTGGTAGATGGGCAGGCAGGTGGGTGTGTAGTGTGAAGCCAAGGTTAAGCAGGTTTGGTCTCCGTTATTTACACGTGTCTAAAAAAAAAAAGAACACCACTATTATCCTGGACCTTGATCTTAGATTTAATTTAAGTCGTCTAGCAAGTAAAGATGAGGAGTGGTGTTGGGTGAAGGCCAGGGAGTATTATTGAAACAGTTTATTGATTTTGTTACAGTTTATTGACGTACAGTTTATTTAGCCCCTTAAAAATTTTAGATATAAAGTGAATAACAATATTGACGTGGCTAAGCAGGGGGGAGGTAATTATTTATTCCCAGGAGTCAATTATTTTTTCATGTTTAAATCCTATAATAGAGGTGGTTTAATTTTAGGGATTCTTTTTGGGTGTGGGGGGGGGGGAGGTGAGTTGATTTTATATATGGGGGGTATTTATTTTCTTGTGGGGAGGGATGGGTCGTTCTTTGTATATTGAATGGGAGAAGAAGTTAAACCCACGTACTGTGTTTATTTGCAGGTTAAATGGGCCCTATTCATAAAAGGTTCCCGTTAAGAATTTGTTCTTTATCCAAATGATTCGGTTCGGTCCGGTCCGGTTCAGATGGAAGAATCTTTTACCCATTAATCGTATTTTATAAATGTGTTAATACCTAAGTTTTAAGCTTACAGGTTGAGGGAGGGAAGTAAGGGGGTCTTATGTTAATGTGTGTTTGTGATGTTTTTTTTTGTGGGGGGGGGGTGAGACTTGTTTCCCCCGTGTGTTTGGTAGACAGTTGGTAAAGCTTTTGTGTGCAAGTAAACCAGGTAGTGAAGAAGACCTCCTGGGGTTATATTTCAGGTTTATTTTGTGTGATGGAAGACCAGTTGGTACAAGAGTCTTTTATGTAGGTTTGATTTGGTTGTATATATAAGGAGATGGAGTACTGTAGTTAAATTTTTTCATCTGGGTTTCAATTTTCTGTCTGTTTCATGTATGTACAGTAGACCAGCCAATAAAGAAGTCTTGGGGTACAGTTTTAGAGTGGTTTTTATGTTGTGTGTAAGGGTGAAGTCTTTGCAGTTTTGGTTTTTGTGGGTAAGTGGCTCAGACAGTGGAATAGTGATGAGGTGTGGCTGGAAACTGCGTCGCGGCGCCACACAAAGAGGGCTATATGAACTTGTTGAAGGCCATGCAAAAAAACAAACAAATGTAAACTGTACTGGATTATTTTTCTTTCATTTTTACTTGTGTGTGTGCGTGTGTGTGTGTGTGTGTGTGTGTGTGTGTGTGTGTGTGTGTGTTAATTCGCCTGTTTGTGTGCCTATGTGTTTGCCTTTGGAAGAATATATCACGGGCTAAGTAAAAGTTTTGTCGATAATGTAGACGATTTTCTTATTGGCAATGTGGCTTACTGACGATGCAAAATGTATTTCTACGCAGCATCCTGATTTTAATTTATGATTATTATTATTATTATTATTATTATTATTATTATTATTATTATTATTATTATTATTATTATTATAGGTTATGTGCTATATACTCATTTCTTCTACCTCATCATCAACATTATTATTAATGGGTGCTTAAAATAAACTAAATTAGCATCAAGTGGCACAACACACCGGTAACTCCACCGGTCTTGTGCTCTGTACTCGTCAGAATAATGGGACTAATGTATTATTATAGTAGAGTACTGTAGTGTGGTATAATGGTGACACTCGCACAGCTATTGTTTTTGTGTAACGAGACACTTACAATGAACTGCTTTTAATTTTAAAGACATTGTTTTAGTGTATGTCTTTTTGGGGTGAAAATTTGATTATTAGGACTTATATTTGTTAATTTTGAATTTTCACGAAATATGGGTTTGAAAACGATGTTTGTCATATGTTTACTGCTTTGAGTAATAACTTATGCAAGTAATCAGTATAGTATATTATGTATACGACATAAATGTTCAGGGATTACCACATTCCATCAAAGTAAAAAGGGATATATAAATGTTAAGAATAATTAAGGTAATTTTTACTTCTTCAGGTGTGTGTGTAGTGTTTTGGAAGTGCCAACATGCCAGGACAGTGTCCAAGGTGCCAGAAGGCGGTGTACTTCGCTGAGGAGAAGATTGTCTTGGGTCGACCATATCACAAGATGTGCATCAAGTGTGGTCAGTGTCCCGTCTGTCCCTCTCTGTCTGGTTTTTGTCTTGTACACACACACACACACACACACACACACACCAGGTACCTGTAAACAAATCATAGTACCTAAGTGAGACCAATTTTTATTAAAGGGATTAAATCACCTGTGCTCTTGAGTAAATATATTCGAGGCAGCTCTTATGTGTGGAAGCTCAACTTGGATGGAGCACATGTGGTGAAAGTTAAGGTTGCCATACGTCCGTATTTTCCCGGACATGTCCTCCATTTAGGTCTCCAAATCTTCATTCGGAAGTAATTTTTAAAATTCTTTAAAAGTCCGAAATTTCAGCTTCCATTATTTTCTCCACGGAAAAAAAAGACATGAAACTGTAATGACGAGAGAGATAGAGAGACTGTGAGCAGGGCCGGATTTACCTACTTGTGGGCCCCAGGCCAAACTCATCAGTGGGCCCCCAAATTTATAGAAATGTTTGCATGTTTCAATAATCAATATACGGTATATATATATATATATATATATATATATATATATATATATATATATATATATATATATATATATATATATATATATATTACTGTAATTATTTTGCAATGACCAAATGTCATCAAATATTACATATCATAATATTGAAATGTAAGAAATAAGAATTTCAACACAATGTGACACATCATTACTTTTAATCAAATTAGTTCTATATCATGTACATCTTATATGTGGGAATAATGAAACAAATACAATTAACTTGAAACATAATCAATTTTACCAGCACATGAAGTACAGCAAACTGTGTGAATTTCATAATAAATTCTTCCTACTTTTTTTCATGGAAAATTTGTCAATGATACTGTGTGTGTCAAGGGATTGTAGGAGGCCAGATTCAATGCATAATAACAAAAGTGAGTTTAATCTGGTTTGTCCCATGGTAGACCTCGGGTGATTTTTCACCCTAGATAGAGTAGAGAAAGTCCTCTCTCCTTCACAATTTGTAATAGGGATGGTAAGGACAATTCTTACCAAGATACTAATGTTTGGAAAGGCAGTTGTCAAAATACCATCTTTGGACCTCAGCAAAGTGGAGATGTTTGTCACTGACCTGTCAGATTCAGAAGACAAAATGTCTTTAAATTGCAAAAACTCATCTAAAACAGATGCTTCCAGGTCACTGGAATAGGTACTGACAACCAATTCCAGTTGGGCTTTGAGATCATCATATTTCATAGTGTCATACTCCGTGAAGAAGCTAAACAGCTTCTTTATTTCTGAGTAGGCATTCACTCTGAGATGAGGCTGAGAAGAGACTGACTAGCTGAGCGAGCTGTCAGCAAACCAACCGTAACCCTGACACGTACTGAACGTGAAACGATCCTGTCCTTCACACGTCAAGGTGCTGAAGGTTTCTTGAACTTTATTCTCTCTCTCTCCTGTATATATGTATGTATAGATAGATAGATAGATCGATGGTGGGACACGGACATTTAATAAATGTATATATATATATATTTTTTATCTTATTTTCTTCATTTTACTATAGGGCCTAGTCCGTGGCCCACCTGAGAACCACCCCATGGCCCGCCAGTTGAAGACCACTGCGGGCCTATACTTATTGTACAGGGGCCCTTATGGTTGTGCATATATTATATAATGAAATACTCGGTGTACACTTGAAACAAGGTCATACGCTGGCACGCTGCTCGATAAATTAGTTTCAGTGGGTCCCCAGATATCGGTGGGCCCTAGGCCAATGGCCTACTTGGCTTACTGGTAAATCCGGCCCTGACTGTGAGAGAAGGGAGGTAGAAATCGTAGAGATGTCGTTCAGTTTTCGTCATCGTAAATTGTGCTCTACTTACCTATAAACTTAGTAAAGATAACCTGGGTTTTCAATCCATTATTGAATGAACTACAAACTGAAGAGCATCTTCCAAAGAAGTGATTTTTGAGATGACAGTACACACCAGTATAGTACTGTACTGTACTGTACTGTATAGTTAAAATGTAGCAGAATTATTATAGTGTACAGATATACAAATTACTTTTCCTTAAGAGTTTTAATATTTTTTATGAATATTCACTGTTGGTTTGATGCGACTTTATCACTAATATGGTGCACCTTTATTGGTCTTCTTTGCTTATAATAATGAATCGTGTGATCTTTGTTGATAGTGAGAAAACATTTTATTCAACAGCCAAATGTAACAAACTCCTGGACAGCAGTACCTTCACCGAGCACGATGAAGAGATGTACTGCAAGAGCTGCTATGGTCGTCTCTTTGGCCCAAAAGGTTATGGGTATGGGGTTGGGGCAGGTGTTCTCTCCATGGACGATGGCACAAAGTATCAGGTGAGCGCTATGTGACATTCTTGGCTTGTTATCTACATCAGCCTCTGTGAGAGAACATTTTAGTGAACCTGTTCTGATGCAGTGTATAACAGGTTCTTGGATCACTATTGTTTGGTTTTCAAAACCGTATATTTTGGTATATCTTGTACTGTATTGAGAAGATGAAATGTGTTTGATGTTGGAATCATTTAATGTTTTTCCAGACAATTTTTTATGACATTTCCTTCCGCGAACTGTAATGTAACTAGAGTTACAAATAGTAGAATTTCTTGATGACCTTGTTTTTCAAGGGCATAGATACATCTTGGCATAAAATATTTATTAAATATCGTTAGCTGCTTCCTCCTGGATGAAGTCCTTTGTTAATTCTTGAAATTCTCATTAACACAAATAACATGCCAGGACTTGTGAATCACACACACCTTAGAAGATATAAACTTGATTACAGTACTGTTGTACAATTTCAATGCCTTCAATGACCTTCATTAAGGAAGAGTGGAAAGGTTGGGTTAGACCTGAGTGTGGGACATGTTAAGATCAGGTGGAGTCACAAGAGCACAATACTGTACTTCATAGTTAAGCTACTGACTCCTGGTTATTGGTGACTCACTGGGCTATTTAATCAGCAGCCTTCTGCATTTCAGTTACCATCATCCCCATTTTCAATTGCTGTCATTTTGATATTGTAAAGTTGTGTTGTATACTTTTAAGTTTACTATATGGGGCTTTTCACAATTAATGGTGAAGCTAGCTAAAGAGAGCAGTAGGGAGGAAATTGTACAGGACGGTGACAGTGATGACCAATAGAAAGTGATGTACTGTATTGTGATGAATAACAGCCTGCAGTTTTTGTAAGAATGTTTTTTTTATTTATTTGAAATTTTTTTTTAGCTAATTCTGAATGGTACATATTATTAGTCTTGCTCTTCTATAACATGAGAAAATGTTTTAAAGGCAGTACAGTATATGGTTGGGACATCTTTCCACGATATATATTATTTTTATGTGGCCGTCAAACAATTTTTTTTTTTACTGTATTTTGCATTGAAGACTTTACCTGTAGATAATTTATTTTCATGAAGGAAAATGGAAGTAGTGCCACTGTTAAGTAACATTCCTCAGAATATAGTTGTATCAAACCTTAAATGTAATGTCTAAACTTCTGACTAATTACAGAGGAGAATTGTACTTGAGATAGCATAAAGTTTTGCCTTTTTTATTTGTATCCCATGAATGTAACATACACTTTAACATTGATATATACAGTATGTTAATTTGAACAATATACTGTACAGGCAACACATACTAATTTAGTATTTTTTACTGTTTGGATAATGAAGTTGTTGTGTATGTGAATTATTATGTGTAATATGTTATTCTAAAAACTCTAGACTGATTGGATAAGTACGTTGATGTGTTTTGTATTTTTGCAACAGAATGGACCACCCAAGTCCAACATCCCCGCAACCATGGAAGCTTATGTGGCACCTCTGAAGCAAGCAGCACCAACGACAAAACCAGTACGACCCAAATGGGGAGGTGCTGATTACTGTGTCAGATGTTGTAAGTTGATAGTGTGAAGTAAAAACTTGACTGTTGATATCCTCTGTTGACCACCAGCTAGTATCATTCCATTTCCTCACACGTCCACGCTTCCTTGTTTCCATCTGCATCGAAGCTATCATTTATTTTTCCATCTTTCCTCAACTTATTTTTATTTTATTTTAGTTCACATTCACTATAAATTTTCTCTTAACACTCTTGGGTTCGAGTAGGCACTCCCCACGAGACACTCTGGGTCTAGCATGTTTGTCACCTCCCCGCACTTGACGAGAGATAATTGTACGTGATGAGTCATAGCAAGCTTGCTGTTTGAGATGAAAAGGTGGGATGTGTTGCATTATCATTGTTAATATATGATCTACAAACACTTTTATATGAGTAATCATGATAAAATAATTATTTGTGTACATAAGCACGAGTAGAACACAAATTTTTGTTTACGCCTAATGAATATGTTTATGCATCACTTTATACCCCCCGTTATTTCATGTGATTGCAAAATGAACTTTATTCCATTATACAGTGTACATATTTATAAAAAAAATAATTAAAAGAAAAAGTTGTAAAAAAAATTAATATTTTGCTAGGGAGAGGCATCAGGAGGCACTACACAATCAATCGTCTTGTACTTTTTACGTTTTCCCACCCCTCTACCCTTGCCACCAGTACGAGGCATGGTACAAAACTCTCACAACACTGTTATGAATAAATTAAATTACTGTGATGAACAAGAAATCAGCACAAGGTGCAAGAAAATGTGTGGGAAATGCAAGTCAATGTTATATTCTGGGTCCTTTAAACACAAAAGGGAGACACTGGTGTGGTGACCTTTGAGTGTAGTCTGCATAGTTGCCAGATCACACTGACATTGTCAAATGTGTGTCTTGCATATCTGAGCATTTATACACAAACATAAAATTATTTTAAATAAATTTTTTACTTCATATGCAAATTTTCATCTGAAAACCCCAAGTGTTAATATGCACACTTCTTAATTCGCTAACATTTGGAACTCTTCTGTAATACCACCTATTAGCTGACTTGCCTTTACTTTACCTGTTATATCATTAGCCACCAAACTTACACTTCTCACCAAACCTGCTTTCACCTCTCCCTACCCCATCCATAAAGATAAAAAACAATGTTGACATTACATGTCTGTCTTACATTCACTGATAACCTGTTGCTCTCTTTCCATTAGCCTCTAGCACAGGCTTTATTCTCCTTATAAAAACTGCAGCTTCCACCAATATCCTTTTGATGCTGTATACTCTCCAGCCTCCTGAAATTTTTTGAAATCTGACCAATATCATGGTCATTTTGAGGCCATTTTGAAGCCATGTGCACTTGATATTAGGATATATTCTGAGGTCAGTAGTAATTACTTTTTCCTGTACAAAAATGCCTGAGTACAATAGTGTATTAAAGAAAAAGTATTGGAGTTTTCTGATGAAAAGGGAGGGGGTCCAGGCCCCCCCTCCCCCCCTCCACCTGGATCCACCCCTGCACCTTCAACACAATAAACATGTGAAACACTGTCACTCAGAATCTACAGATAAGTAACCCAATATCAAAATTTATGAAATGTTTTTTATTACCCCCATATTTCATCTACTCTTCCTTTGGATTTTTTCCGTTCTCTTCATGTACTTCCTTCTAATCTTCATTCATCATTCCTCTCTTGCAGTGATCTCTCATGACTCTTTTCTTTTTAAGAATTAATCAATGGCAGAACTACTCTTTTTCTTTTTCCTTCCTATACCCTTTTACCTACACACTTCAGTTAAACTCTCCAGGACTGCACACTTAATCTGTTCCCATTCTTCAACTTCTCTCCCTTTAATGACTCCTATAAGCAGTAATCAATTGGTTGATTCATTTAAAGTTACTTTTGTTCACAGCTAAACAGGTGTTCATGGCAGAGCGGAAAATGGCAGCTGGGGGAGCATGGCATAAGGCATGTTTCAACTGTCGTGAATGTCACAAATGCCTCGACTCCCACTCCATTCGTGAACGTGAGCAGGATATCTACTGCAACCGTAAGTTTGCTGCCCCAGTTTAAATTTTTAGTTTTAATGTCCCCATTTTTAGAAGGCAGGTGTACCTTTGAAAACTTTTGACCTTTCAGTACAGTACTACTGTATTTGTGAAAAAAAATTACTTTAAAGAAACTTTGTAAATTTTTTGAAATAAGAGATAATCAAAATTTCCCTTATTTAGCCCAAATAAATTAGTGAGGTTCCATTTTTCTTATTTTTTATGTTATGAGAATGTTGAATACTGTACCAAGAAAAATCTTTTAATTGTAATTTTAGACCTGATACCTTCCCTAAGGACCTGTATTATACAGTACAGGTTATGGATTATAGGCCTAGGAAAACCCTCAGACAGTAGTTGTTCTGACCATTTAATGTAGAATTCAACAAGGTAAGATGTCACATCAACATGTGTACCCTACTCAAGTCAACGAAGGGAATGCACTCCTTTGAATTTATGCCGATCAGAAAGTTAGCTTATTGGAAAATTATTATGGGGTCTTTGTTCTTGGTGTTATGTCTATTAACCCCTTTTGTATGGGGTTGTCTGTGAGCTGAATAAAATAATCTGACATTAGCTAAATGAGATATTAAAAGTAGCATTCCCGTGGTGAAGGGGTTAAGATTAATTAAGTCTTCATATTTTATGTGATAATATATTTTATTTATTTTTTCTCGAGCAGCTTGTTATGGGAAGAACTTTGGCCCAAAGGGGTACTGGGGATGGTCATCTGCCAAGGTGTCGTAAATTTGATGTTGGACCTGCAGACGTATTGATTTGGATTCACCTCATCACTTCCTGTTCAGACACACCTAGTTTAGATCTCTAACTTTTAGAAGGTTCACATATGTCATTTTCATACATATATGATAAAGTACATAATTTGTATGATAATTATAAGCTTAAGGTAATGTGAAACAAAACTTCTATGTCTTTTTCATTTTCAAATGTGTATAAAAAGTTAATAGTACAGTAATTAGTTTGATGGTGATATGAAATATTTGATAAACTGTAATCATTAGAATGTACACATTTTTTCTTGTCACACAAATATCACTGAAGACTAATATTGATTAGTTAGTTACTTAAGGTGTAGTGAGACAAAAATTATATGTCTGATAACTTGTTTTAACAAAATAAGAGTAAGTGTGTTATTAATACTGTAAGCTGGAGAGCTTTATTGCTATTTAATACTACAGTATAATGTTAAAGAAGTGTACTGTATTGCCATTCACTGTTTGTTAAAGATAATTTTCTTCAAAGCCTTGCATGTTATACTTGCAGTCACATGAGACATAAGTTTCAAGCTTCATTATCAGTGAAATATCTTCTCTTACTCCCATTTTTGTCCTGATCATTCTTGATATATATTTGATCGAGTAATTTCAGTCGATTTTGTTCCATTATAACAAGCACTCTAGTGTTTGAGCTAAGACTTTGTTCTTTACTGTTATTGTAATTATTAACAAACTATGCATGTCTTTTATTTGTTTTTAAGCAAAATTACAAGCAGGAAATGTCTATACCCTGTATGTAATATTTTATGACGAATACGATCTTGTAAGCCATAAGTCAGTTTCTTTTACAGTTTTATAGAGTGGGCCATTTATGAATCTAGCATGGGGTAAATACATTCTGACATGGTATAACTTTAGGAATCTTATATGACTGGAGAAAATTACAAGTACACCATATTATTGGTTTGTGGATGTCTCGTACAATAAAAATTAGAGGACACTGCCATGTTGGTTTTGTCCTTTATATTCATTCTTGCATATACTGCAGACTCGATAAAATATAGTAGAAGAAAAAAATAATTCTATTGAAATTATTTCGCTTGAATGATATACAGTATCAGAAAAATGGATTGAATTTTCATACACTGCAGTCTTTGCTATTTATACAAAGATTCACTACCTGGATTTCTTTTATATTTTGGTTTGTAAAGGATTATGTGAAAGGAATTCATCTAATTGTCATTAAATTTGTGTTAGCTCATAGGTTGTATTCTTTTGTATCTCACGTACAGTGCTAAGAGGAAAAGGGAGCTTTTGGTGTTACCCTGGTGTTTACTTTTTTATATTGGCAAATTTTTGGTTGAAATTGTAAAGAATCTAATTCCTTAACTAATTATTTAATTTTGTAGTGCGTTACCCTATATAATTTTGTCAACATATTTCGGGATTCATTTTTAATTTGGAGAAAAAAATGTAATTAGACGAGATTAGCTGTCCCTCCGACAGTATATAATGCTTGATAGTGTAGTGATGTATACTGTGCACCCTCTTCAATAATATTTTCAGCAGTGATGTTGAGGATTATATAAAATAATACAATTCTTCCAGCTCACATCCATAATACTGTACAGTACAGTACCAAGCTGAAGTTAGTAGGTGTTACTTGAGGAAAATGTTTTAAAAGAAGTGTATGGTTATTTATAACTACTAACATAATCCTTTGAGTTTTGTCAGGTATATTCTAGCTGTGAAAACTGAAGAATGTGTAGAAAGTATTTTGCATGTACATTTAAGATGTATTATGATTACATGTTCATGTGTGTCTGTTTTTTCACACGACAGGAGTTATATATTGTAAGAATCCTTCATGTAAGAATCGTGTTTGCATTTCCTTATATAAATATCCTCCATGACTGTTTACTTGGATATGCATCAATATTGGTTTATTCAGAAAAAGTAATGTGAATAATCTGGTAAAGGAGCCTAAAATTAAGGCCAAGTTAATTTCCATGTTAGTTTGTAAGGAATTATGTAAAGTACAATAGATAAGTGTATTTTGGAAAAATGCAAATGAATGCCGATTTACAAATCTTTTTGTATGTCTAGAAATTTAAATTAATTTTGTTACACTAAGAAAAGGAACTATTGAGAATTATTGTATTAAAAAAAAAAAAAAAACTGTGGTTACATTAATACAGTTTGATGTTTTGTTTAGGATTCCATAATGCAGTGCATATGATCAGGCTCAGCAGTAGTGGACTTTTTAATGGGTTTATGCAAAACAAAACATAAGGTTAAGCATATATTTTGATGTAAGCGTATATTTTGATGTAAGCATATATTTTGATGTAAGCATATATTTTGATGTAATAATTAACAAAATAAATGTGATTTGATGAAAATATTTTTTTATAGGGATTAGCCAACCTGAGCACAGGTCGCTGATCCACAATGGGGCCTATAGAAACTAAATGCGGGAAATAATAATGCCATATTTCAGTGGTTGTATGGAAGGTTACCTGGGGGCACCACCACCCCAGGAGGGCCCTGGGGGCGTCGCTACCCTTGGGGACGCTGTCAACCTTGGGAGGGTCCCTGGGGTTGCTGCCATCCATGGAAAGGTCCCTGGGGATGCCACTGCTCCTGGGAGAGTTCCTGGCATGCTGCTGTCCTTGGGGAGGTCCCTAAGGGGCGCAGCTACCTCTGGGAGGATCCCTGGGTCTCCACCGCCCCTGGGGGGGGTGCTGCTGCTCATGGCAGGCTTCCTGGAATGGTTCCTGGGGACTCTGTGGCCCCTGGGAGGTTCCATGGGGGCACCGCTACTCACTGGAGGGTCACTGGAGGCACGGCTACCACTGGGAAGGTCCCTGGTGGTGCTGGCGAGCCGGGAAGGATCCCTTTGAACCTGGGAGGGTCCCTGGGGGCGCTTACCTCCCTGGGGGAGTTGTTGACGTTGGGAGGGTCAGTGGTGATGCTGCCGCCCCTTGGATGTCCCTGGGGTTACTGCCCATGGGTGCGCCATCACCGCTAGGAGGTAGGGAAGGCGTCGCCTGAGGGAACCCTCCTGGGGGCAGCGGCGGCTCCAGGAACCTCTCCAGATGTAGCATTGCCCCTTGGCACCTTCCCAGGGATGGCAGAGCCCATCAGGGACCTTCCCTAAGGCAGCCACGCCCCTGGGGACCTACCCAGGAGCAACGGCACCCTCGGGCACTTTCCCAGGGGCAGCGGCGCCCCCAAGAACCCTCCAAGTGGTTACAGCGCTCCTAGAGGCCCTATCAGGTGCGGCAGCGCCCCAAGGGTCCTTCCTACGGGTGGCGCTCCCCAGAGGCCCTCGAAGTGGTGATGGTGCCCCCAGGGACCCTTGCAGGGGGGGTGGCAGTGCCCACAGGGGTCCTCCCAGAGGACGACCCCAGCGGCATTCGCAGGTGCAGTGGCACCCCAGGGGCCTTCCTAGGGGCAGCAGCTATCCCAGGGGCTCTACAAGGGGAAACCCCCTGGGCCATACTAATGGCGTCTCCTCTATAAGCTCTATAGCTTGCTTGGTCGTGGTGTTGTACTTATGTATTGCATACGTCCAGCAATCCCATTCTTAACTGTGATTAGTAGACTAAAATGTATATCCAAGGAAGGCGGTGAACTTGGGGGCCATCACTGGTGTGGCAGCGACACCAGGGGCCCTCCCGGGGGTATCGGCGACCCCAAGGGCATTCCCAAGAGCGGTGGTGCTCCCAGAGGTAGCTGTTCCTTCAGGGGCCTTCCCAAGGGCGGCGTCGACCCCAGAGGCACTCCCAGGGGCGGCTGCTACCCTAAAAGGGCCTTGCAGAAGCGGCGGCGCCCCCATGACTCCCAGGGAATGCATCGCCCAAGCGGACCCTCCCAGGAGCAATGGTGCCACCAAGAACCTCCCCAGATACGGCGGCGCCCACAGGGACGCACTCAGGCACAATGGCACCTCATGGGATCTTTCCAGGGACCTTCCCCAAAATAGCCACGCCCCCAGGGACCTTCCCTGGAGCAGTGGTGGCCCAGGGATCTTTCTAGGGGCAGTGGAGCCCCCAAGGACCCTCCCATTGGCGACTGTGCCCCCAGGGGCCCTTTCAGGTGCAGCAGGCCTCAAGGGGCCCTCGTACAGGTGGCGGGGCTCCGAAGGGCCCTCACAGTGGTAGTGGCGCCCCCAGGGACCTTTGCAGGGGCGACTGTGCCCACAGAGGCTCTCCCTGGGGCTACAGCACCCCCAGGAGCCCCCAGAGACAGACGCAACCACAGGGGCATTCACAGGTGCAGTGGCGCCTCGGGGGCCCTCCCAGGGGCCCTGCAAGGGGAACCCCCGGGGCCCTACCAGGGGCGCCTCCTCCTTAAGCCCTATAACTTGCTCGGTCGTGGTGTTGTACATATTGTATTGCATACGTCCAGCAATCCCTTACTTAACTGTGATTGGTGGACTAGAATGTTTATCCACCAAATTACAGCCAATAGGAGAAGAGAGCAGTCAGTCAGCACAACACCCCAACTTATGTTTTCCTGTTGGATATTTATTCTCATTTACATTGTTCATGAGGGGTTGATACTGGAAATGCGATGGGTGGTGAGTTATTTAACGTCATATCTCCCGTTGTTCTGTCCAGCAATCCCTTGCTTAACTGTGATTGGTGGACTAGAATGTTTACCCACCATATTACAGCCAATAGGAGAACAGAGCAGTCAGTCAGCACAACACTCCATCTTATGGGTTCCTGTTGGATTTTTATTCTCCTTTACATTGTTCATGAGGAGATGATGGTGGAAATGCGATGGGCGGTGAGTTATTTAACGTCATATCTCCCATTGTTCTAAATCATGAAAAAAAAAACATTTGCCCCAAAGGGCCTACAGAGACAGTGACCCCAGGGGACAGGTCAAGGGCAGTAGCAACTGCAGGGGCTGTGGCGACCCCAGGGGCTCTCTCGGGCGGTGACAGCTTCAGGAGCCATACCAGGGGCTGCAACACCCCTAGGGGCCCAGTGGCGACTCCAATGGCCCTCCCAGGTGAAGCGACGCACCTAGGGGCCCTTGCATGGGCGGTGGTGGCCTCATGGGCCCTCCCAGGGACCTCGGTTAATCCAGGGTTCCTTGCAGGAGCGGCGGCGCCCCCAGGGGCCCTCCCAGGAGTGGTGGACCCCTAGGGACCTTTCCAGGGGTGGCGGTCCTTCAGGTAAGCTACTATGGGCGGCGGCGATATTAGGGGCTCACTCTGGGTCGGTGGCGACCCCAGGGGCCCTCTCTAGGGCGACGGCGACTCCAGGGACCCTAGCAGGGGCAGGGGTGCCCACAGGGGCCGTCCCAGGGGCTTTCCCAGTGGCTGTAGTGCCCCCAAGAGCCCTCCAAGAGGTAGAGGTGAGCACAGGGGTATTTGCAGGTGCGGTAGCGCCCCAAGGACCCTCCCAGGGATAGCGACGACCCCAGGGGCCCTATAAGGGGATCCCCTGGGGCCATAGCAGTGGCGCCCCTTCCCTTAAGCCCAATAACTTGCTTGGTTGTGGTGTTGTACATAGTGTATTGCATACGTCCAGCAATCCCTTATTTAACTGTGATTGGTGGACTAGAATGTTTACTCACCATATTACAGCCAATAGGAGAAGAGAACAGTCAGTCAGCACAACACCCCAACTTATGTTTTCCTGTTGGATATTTATTCTCCTTTACATTGTTCATGAGGGGTTGATACTGGAAATGCGATGGGTGGTGAGTTATTTTTCGTCATATCTCCCATTGTTCTGTCCAGCAATCCCTTGCTTAACTGTGATTGGTGGACTAGAATGTTTACCCACCATATTACAGCCAATAGGAGAAGAGAGCAGTCAGTCAACACAACACCCCAACTTATGTTTTCCTGTTGGATATTTATTCTCCTTTACATTGTTCATGAGGGGTTGATACTGGAAATGCGATGGGTGGTGAGTTATTTTTCGTCATATCTCCCATTGTTCTGTCCAGCAATCCCTTGCTTAACTGTGATTGGTGGACTAGAATGTTTACCCACCATATTACAGCCAATAGGAGAAGAGAGCAGTCAGTCAGCACAACACCCCAACTTATGTTTTCCTGTTGGATATTTATTCTCCTTTACATTGTTCATGAGGGGTTGATACTGGAAATGCGATGGGTGGTGAGTTATTTTTCGTCATATCTCCCATTGTTCTGTCCAGCAATCCCTTGCTTAACTGTGATTGGTGGACTAGAATGTTTACCCACCATATTACAGCCAATAGGAGAACAGAGCAGTCAGTCAGCACAACACCCCAACTTATGTTTTCCTGTTGATATTTATTCTCCTTTACATTGTTCATGAGGGTTGATACTGGAAATGCGATGGGTGGTGAGTTATTTTTCGTCATATCTCCCATTGTTCTGTCCAGCAATCCCTTGCTTAACTGTGATTGGTGGACTAGAATGTTTACCCACCATATTACAGCCAATAGGAGAACAGAGCAGTCAGTCAGCACAACACCCCAACTTATGTTTTCCTGTTGGATATTTATTCTCCTTTACATTGTTCATGAGGGGTTGATACTGGAAATGCGATGGGTGGTGAGTTATTTTTCGTCATATCTCCCATTGTTCTGTCCAGCAATCCCTTGCTTAACTGTGATTGGTGGACTAGAATGTTTACCCACCATATTACAGCCAATAGGAGAACAGAGCAGTCAGTCAGCACAACACCCCAACTTATGTTTTCCTGTTGGATATTTATTCTCCTTTACATTGTTCATGAGGGATGATACTGGAAATGCGATGGGTGGTGAGTTATTTAACGTCATATCTCCCATTGTTCTGTCCAGCAATCCCTTGCTTAACTGTGATTGGTGGACTAGAATGTTTACCCACCATATTACAGCCAATAGGAGAAGAGAGCAGTCAGTCAGCACAACACCCCAACTTATGTTTTCCTGTTGGATATTTATTCTCCTTTACATTGTTCATGAGGGGTTGATACTGGAAATGCGATGGGTGGTGAGTTATTTTTCGTCATATCTCCCATTGTTCTGTCCAGCAATCCCTTGCTTAACTGTGATTGGTGGACTAGAATGTTTACCCACCATATTACAGCCAATAGGAGAAGAGAGCAGTCAGTCAGCACAACACCCCAACTTATGTTTTCCTGTTGGATATTTATTCTCCTTTACATTGTTCATGAGGGGTTGATACTGGAAATGCGATGGGTGGTGAGTTATTTTTCGTCATATCTCCCATTGTTCTGTCCAGCAATCCCTGTCTTAACTGTGATTGGTGGACTAAAATGTTTACCCACCATATTACAGCCAATAGGAGAAGAGAGCAGTCAGTCAGCACAGCACCCCAACTTATGTTTTCCTGTTGGATATTTATTCTCCTTTACATTGCTCATGAGGGGTTGATATTGGAA